CCAGTTGCCCAGCATCTCGAAGAACGTGTGATGGTAGCCATCCTGACCCACCACAGACAGATCATTGTGCTTGCCACCAACTCGCACACATTTCTGAGAATTGACGACGCGTTTGTACGGTGCTGCAGCTGTGCCCAGAAAAACGGATTTGAACTAAAGCGACGAGACTGATTAGGGCACAATAGATTAATCAAGTTTATGTACCTGATATTCACCTGGTTCATGCCCGCATTGACAAAGGCGACGGTGGGATCGCAGAACGGCACAACCGGACTGGAGCGCACAAATTTGTGTTCATGATTGACAGTAAAGTAATCGATGAATGTTTTGCGTATCTCGCGTGCTGTGAGCACACGTTGTAGTTTTTTGGCCGAGTTGTACATGCCAATTTAATTGCGGTCTTAATTACATGCGAGAGCGATGTGGACCCAGCTGAGCCGGTAATTAAAAACAGAATCGGATCAGAATCACAGTCAGCTGATCGGAATTGCAGTTCACATGTAAACGCTGCCATTCGCAGTTCAACGCGTGTGGTCTGGTGTTCTATTTTCTGGCTGAAGCAACAGCTGCATATTTTGGTTAAAATATGCAACGAACAAGAATAGAGCGAAAGAACAACGAAAACTGCCTTGTGCTAAGTGAAAAATTCTGTGAAACTTAACAATAGTAATAATTAAAAACACACACAGTTCGGTGCAACTAAATTATATGTAATCTAATGTAATGCAATTTGAACTTTGACACCTTTCGTTTTGGTTCCGCTTTCACTTTTGACAAACCCTTTACCATAACCAAAAACGGCAGCAATAAAACGACGTAGTATACAACACATTGGCAAAGTGCAAACAACTTCAACCACAACGTAGTAAACAAAATCTCCATATCAACATGGCCACAAAACGGCGTCCACTGCGTCCCAATCTTGCCCCCGGACAAAACAGCGGCTCCAATATGAACTTTCGACCTGGTGGACCAGATATAACTCGATCAGAGGCGCGAGGCACGCGTCCAACCGCTGCCCCCACCAGCATTCGTGAGATTCTAGTCATGGGCGTCATACATCTGTGCAAAAAGACGATATTCTTTAACACGGACCTAAAAGTGGCCCTCTATTTGGGCAGCTTATTCATCATCTCGCTTATAGGCGACTTCTTGCCATTTCCCAAGACATACTTTGCCCGTTCCGACAATCTGTTCAATCTGTACTTCGTCAAGGTTGGCTGGGGTTGGACTCTGTTGTTCGCCGTGCCCTTTGCGGTACTCTCCGCCTATACAATCACCTGCGGCGACATGAAACGCATGCTGAGGCATCACTTCCCACGCATTGTAATAGCCACTTTCTTTTGGTTCTTCTGGACAAAGCTCTTCAACATTGTGGAAACCTCCTATGGTCGTTGCACTACCAAGGGTAAGATTGGCAGTTTAAAAATGTTAAAACTGTTATTAAAGATTGTGTTTCTTGCAGGCTTCCAGAGCAAGTCCAGCTGCCTGAAGGCGGGTCATTTGTGGCAGGGCTTTGACATCTCAGGCCATGCGTTTATACTTATACACTCTAGCCTGGTGCTAATCGAGGAGGCGCGTCCCATTATCAAATGGGAAACCATCAAGGAGCACCTACGTAACGAGTTGCACAATCGCAGCGTATCGGAGAAAACGGGAAGCAATCCGTTGCGCGGCCTGAACGATGAGCAAATGCGGAGCTTACAGTTTCTCTATACGCGACTGACGCCCATCATTCGCACCTTGTTCATTGGGATGGCGGCTCTGCAGCTGCTCTGGGACATAATGTTGGTGGGCACGATGTTGTACTATCATCGCATGATTGAGAAAGTCATCAGCGGCATCATTGCCATACTAACGTGGTACTTTACGTATCGCTTCTGGTATCCAACCAATGGCCTGTTGCCCGAGGCGCCCGGCAATGGCGTCTTCTACTACCAGCGCGAGAGTGTCCCTTTCAAGAGACCCACGCATTTACACACCTGCACACCATCTGCTGGCAGCCAGGCGTCATCCAGTGGATTGAAAGCCAATCCCAATGGCAGTAGCCAGTGGTCGGCGGGCAAGGTGGGTGCTCAGTCGTCGCCACAGCAGCAGCAAATGCCTACTTTCATGGGCATGCCCCTGTTTACCAATGTGAAGGCAGCGAGTGCCGCGGCCAGCCTTCTGCAGGCGGAGCAGCAGAAGCGGGAACAGCAGCAGGCAGGCGTGGAAAGCTGAACCCAAGTCTTTGACTAACCCAGCAACAGAAAACAGGAATTGAATTATCAGGTTAGGCGAATCATTTTTAACCGGTAGTGGCTAGCAAAATCTTTTGTACCAAATAGAACTTAATACCAAATGATTTTATATAAAATGATATCAGCAGCTTGAGGCTCGCACTTTGGCACTGTGCGCTGTTCATAGTTCATAGTTCATAGGGCAATCGCAGCTCCGCGCTCTCTCTCATTCTCTCGAACACTGTTTCTGCCTTCCGGATCTTGCATTGTTACCACGTAGTCTTAAGCGTTCTTTTGTTTGTGTTTATATGTGCCCAACTTTAACAACAACAATAAAATGATTGTTAACAAATCGTGCTGGCTACTTATGCGCAAAGGCTGCGAACATGGCCATACCCAAGAAACCGGCGGTTGCTCCCAGCTTGTAATTGGAAGGCGTCATACTCCACATCTCCTTCAGTATTTCGAAATTGCTGCTGGGCATGAGCTTGTGGTATGAGGCACGCTGCTTGAACCGTAAAAAGTAGCCCTCCACCTGCGGCAACTTGCCGAAGCCCCAATAATAGTTCTCGAAGCCCAGCTGATAGAGGCGCTGCAGCAGCAGGCCCAAGCTGACGTCAGCCAGTGTGAGCTCATCACCCGTCAGCCACTCGTTGCGTGGCGTTTGCTTGGACAGCTCCTGCTCCACATATTGTAGCACATTGCGCACCGCATCCAGCACACGCTGGAAATCTACACGCGAGGCGACAAGTTTCCTGCGAAGTAACTGAATCTCTAGCTTTTGTTGCAGTGCAGTGTTATTCGAGTCCAACTCATCCACGGAGTGACGCAGCAATTCCATAACCTTGTCATTGTTCTCTGCGGGTTAAAACACAATGGATAATTCGATTGGAACAGCACCCAGGCACATTTAAACTGCTCACTCAGGCAGGATTGCCGTACGGGCCCAATGAAGGGAGCCTTGGGCACCAGCTTGAGGTCGTCGTGGATAAAGGAGCCCAGACTTAGTGCGCCCACAGGCAGGCGTGACAATGCGCGTTCAAATATCATCATCTGATCGAATTGTGGGGAATCTGGTGGGTATGGCTTCAGCAGCGGATGCTGCTCTGTTAGGAGACGAGACATTGGTTTGGATTGGCTAAGCATATCGAAAATAATTACTTACCTCCACGGAACTTGGTCTCCACGTAGCTGATGATGTGCGGCGAGTTGGGTATGATAAAGGCGTCATCCTGCAGCACGGGCACATCGCCTTTAGGATTCAGATTTAGGAACCAGCTGGAGTACTGTTCGCCATTGCACAGATCGACTATGTAGGGTGTAAAGTCAATATTTTTCTCATAGAGCACCAGCAAAACCTAGGAATGAAAATATAAAAAACAGATTGATAAAGCTTAGCTAACCGCAAGTCTGCGAATAATGTACGATCATTAATCCTAATGACTTGTAGCTCCCTCCCCGTTTGCTTGTACTATTTATACTGTTCCTCAGTTTTGTTTATTTATCACTTAAAGTCGTTTCATACGCTTTCAAACGCTTCATTAGCACCTGCATCAAGGTAAACAGTTAAATAATATTATTTATTAATGCTGTCAACAAAAAAGAGAAAAGAACAAAAACTAAAACTAATCAAATCTACTTGTGTTGGCAGCCCTCCAGATATTATGCATACGCCCCCGTCACGCACGACTGCACTCGAAGTAGAAGGGGGCACCCAGTGGGTGGTGGGTGGTGGGTGGTAGTTATTTAAAAACTCTACATAGTCATAGCTAACAAAATAACATTGAACGGTAATCACAATCATGACGATTACTTCTGTAATTTCGCGCCATTAGCGCGTTTTGTAATATTAAAAAATTGTCTCAAAAAATCACATGATTTAGTTAGGGCAACTAACTTTTTGCGAGTAAAAGTTGTACGGATGAAAGTAGAGTACTAATTTGTTGTCCTGAAATACGGGCGCCTTGAAGTCCTTTGGTGCGGGCGCAGCTGGCGAAATTTCATCTGCTTGGCTGCTCATCTTTCAAATCTTGTGAATCGTACTGGCAGAGTTATTTGGTTATATCACATGCTTCACGTTGGGTGCGAAAACGAAAACCGTTAACCGCGTGCCGTATACCCTGTTCCTCTAGAGCTCTAGAAAAAGCGGCTTGCACACTTGGAACGACGCGGAGCGACTAACTGCTGAAAGTACGCGTTCTGATGGGTTGGGAATGGAGTAGAGCAATGAAACAACTTAACAACTAAAGCCGCTCCGGCGATCTATAATTTGCACTTTCGGCTGAGAGCAAACATTGGGTTGTTGTTATTTCTGGATATGATTTGTGCTGCTGTTGTTGGTGGGTTATTCGTCAACGATTCTTATTCTCTTTCAGTGTTGCGGTTCCTACTTGTTTTTTTATATTTATCTTTGTTTATTCTGTTACGACATCGCGAATCATATTTAATGCGTACAGGCAATGTTTATTTAAGTTTTTTTTTTTTTGGAGATTTTCATTTGAACAGGTCTTATCTACAAATTGGGGGGAGGGGACAGCAGACAGTGTCAAGCTTGTAAGGTGGTATTATTCCAGTAATTCTAATTGGAGTAATATTACACAGAAACACTCTAGTTTGTGCCATTAGCAAAATATGCTCTTTTGTTTAACTACAACTTAATTTAATAAATGTGAAGAAACAAATGTGATTTAAATGTAGCCGTAATTCAAAAAGTGCGCCCAAAAAAGCTTTTACTTCGCCGTGAATGGCAACAAGATGTAGCATCAAGGAAAGCACGTTCCAATTGGAACTGCTTGGCTTAGTCGTATAGGAATCGTACAAATAGTAGAAGTGAAGAAAAATCAATTTGCCGATCCTTGTCAACCGAAATTCAATTCAAAACTTAGCATAAATATGTTGCATCTGGGCAAGCAATTGGCTAGCAAGGCGCCAAAGCTCCATTTGACCGCTGCATCCAGTTTGTCTGGAGGCAAAGTCCAAAGTACCATGCAAAGCACAACATCGATTAGAAATCTTAATCAACATAACAGCAACAACGATAGTAACAAACTCGTTAACCACAATCTTTGCCACAAACGATTGTCCAGCGGCAGTGCCAGTCAAAGTTCGAGCGTTACAAGCATGAAGCGTTTAGCAGGCAAAGTTGCGGTGGTTACCGCCTCCACAGATGGGTGAGTGCTCAGAGACATTGTCCTTCTTGCATATTGATTATGGCTAATGTATTGTGTCTGCAGCATTGGCTTTGCGATTGCCAGGCGTTTGGCTGAGGATGGTGCCGCCGTCGTGATCAGCAGTCGGAAGCAGAAGAATGTGGACAATGCGCTTGCCGAGCTGCGGAAACTGAATCTTAACGTGCATGGCCTCAAGTGCCACGTGAGCGAGCCGCAAGATCGTAAGCAGCTTTTCGAGGAAACCATCAGCAAATATGGCAAGCTCAACATTTTGGTTAGTAATGCCGCTACCAATCCTGCCGTGGGCGGTGTTCTGGAATGTGATGAGAAGGTGTGGGACAAAATCTTCGATGTGAATGTAAAGAGCTCTTATCTATTGGCCAAAGAAGCTCTGCCATATCTACGCCAGGAGAAGGGCTCTAGCATAGTGTTTGTCTCGTCCATTGCCGGCTACGATGCATTTGAGGTTAGTTGGCTATTAGTTTAACCAGTATTTATTTTATCTTAATCTTTGACCTTTTCTACAGCTGCTGGGCGCATACTCCGTGAGCAAGACAGCGCTGATTGGACTAACCAAGGCAGCGGCCAAGGATTTGGCGCCTGAGGGCATACGCGTAAATTGCCTGGCACCTGGTATCATCCGTACAAAATTCTCCAAGGCGCTGTACGAGAACGAGGCTGCCAATGAGGCGGCGCTTAGCAAAATACCCATGGGTCGTCTGGGCACTAGTGAGGAGATGGCTGGCGTTGTATCTTTCCTTGTATCGGAGGATGCTGGCTATATAACAGGCGAGTCTGTAGTTGCCTCTGGGGGTATGAACGCTCGACTTTAGAGTGATGCATGTAGATATACTTATGTTCGTATGTCTTATGGCCTATGAATAACAATTGTGTTTACAAAAAATCCAAATACAGTTGTGGGAGGGATTAAGCACATTAATATAACTAGGAAGATCTCAGTTTGGCCAACTGATCTGCAATGTCCTTCTCGGTGCGCTTGCCGCTAGTCTCGAACTCGCTGGATCCTGTGGCTGGTATGTTGGCCATTTTACCAGAGATTTCAATGCCAATCTCATCGAGCACCTTGTTGACCACATCGTTAGATTCCTCCTCATCGCCAGATTCAGTTAGCATGTCGTCTAGCGTATCGTTTATCATTTCGTCTGTCATTTCCATGCGCATATTTGCTTGCTGGAAGTCACGCACAGTGCCTGCTATAGCCTCTGGGCGCATCACCTTGTTCATGCCAGCCATCGTCTTGGCTGTGGTGCCCATTGCCTCGCCCAGAGCTATGTTTGCGCCCATGTTCTTGTTTTGATAGCCTATGGATTGTATTTTGCCCGCAGCGGCGTAACTACGCGATTTTTGCTTGCGAATCTCGATCAGTTGCTTGGCCAGTATTTTGCATGCATCGTTGTTTCCAGAAGCCGCACTGCGTCTGATCTCAGCTTCTAGTTTTTTCTCCTCCTCCTCCAGTTTTCGACGCTCTCGTTCAATGTCGCGAGTTGCTTTCCGCAAGCTGCGATCATTTTCGCGTTGCTGTTCCTTAACGGTGGGTTTCTTGCCAAATATATTGTTAAACATTTTATATTTTAATTTTTACTGTCTGAACGAACGGGAAGGGTTTTTCAAAAAGGTGATTCACTGTTGAAGCTGGCGTTTGGTGTGTGCAAATATCAAAACAAAATCAGCTGTTGCTTTGTCAAATGTGGCTGTTGCGCTGTGAATGGCTAATTTCGTGGAGAATGGCAATTAGCTTTGAACTCGCAAGTGCATATCACCGGTGATAACATTATTTTAGGAATTAAATATGACATTAGAAGTACTAAAACAAGGGGCCGAAGGTCGCCTTTACCTTGGTGAATTCAAGGGTGAATCGTGTCTAATAAAGGAACGCTTCGTCAAAAAGTATCGTCATCTAGAGTTGGACACACAAATAACGAGGCAGCGCATGAAGGCTGAGGTAAAGGCAGCTGGCCGTTGCCTGGCGGCTGGCATCCTGGCACCACGCATTCTCCACTCAGATTTGACTAGCCATAAGCTGTACATGGAGTACTTTGGAAGCGCCCAGACAGCTAAGCAGTTTATACAGAAAACAGTGGCCGAATCGACCGACGAGCAGGCAAAGCAGCGCTTGGAGGAGCTGTGCACACGTATTGGCGGCATCATTGGTCGAATGCATGCCAACAACATAATACACGGCGACTTGACCACATCAAATATACTTATCAATCCCAATCCGAATACGAGCAGTAGCTATGATATCATCTTCATAGATTTCGGACTAAGCCACTATAATCAGGCGACAGAGGACAAGGGAGTTGATTTATATGTGCTGGAACGGGCGCTGCTGAGCACGCATAGTGAGCAGCCCTATCTGTTTGAGCACATACTGGCGGCTTATCGCAAGGAGTGCGGCAAGGACGAGGAGGCCGTTTTGGCCAAGTTTGAGGAGGTACGTGCGCGTGGAAGAAAACGCACAATGATCGGTTAGCCGTTCATATTTAACGAATACTTTAATAAACCATGTTAAACTTACATGTTAATTTAGTCTACATTTAATCCTATTCTATTCGTTTTACTGGGTCTGATACCGGCGGATCATCTTGCAGCTCATTAATTTTGATTTTCTTAATATATTTTCGGATTTTTGTTTTACGTTTCACTTGTTCGTGCTTCGCTGGTTCTACGCCAGTGACAGGAGCTTCCTTGTATTGTGCATACGGACGGGCTTTCAGCTTGGCAATGGCATCTTCCAGCTTCAGGCCGGACAGGCCATGCTCCTCGTAAAACAGACGATATTTATCACAGAACTTTGAGTGCCCCTTCTTAAAGGCCTCAGTTTTTGTTGAGGGGTGCTGAAAATAGTTGTCGGTTAGTTTTCTTAAATTATTCATGGGGTAATTGACTATGTCTCACCCTGGCATCAATGGCTCTGGCACAGCCTCTGTGAAAGTTATGTAAATGCCGTAGGAACGATTCGTTTGGTTTTATGCTCTCCTCCAGACTAAGTTGCATGATTTCGTTGATGTACGTAAATGATTTCTGTGCACAGCCCTGCCGCAACATAGCGCCCAATATCGGCATATTCATACGTATGCCCGCTGCCTGCATTTGCTGCAGTAGCTCACGGGCCTGTTCCTGGGTGCGGCAGCCCAGCGCTAGTACGCCATATGTCACAATGTCAGGCATCAAGCCAGCAGTGCGTATCATAGTCAACACCTCGCGTGCGCTCTCATAATCGAAGCGCATCGAGCGCTTCTTGATCAGTATGTTAAAGAAATCAATGTCCGCTTTGAGGCCAATCTTGCGCACAAAGCTTAGCAGTTGCTTCTCCGCTGCATTAGTGGGCGGTATGACCTCAAGCATGGTTGTAAAACATTCAATGTTCGGGGTTATTTTGTGGACCTTCATTAACTCCAGATAACCGGTAATGCCGCCCAGCAATAGAAATCGCTCATGAGGACGCGTCACTTCAGACAAAGCAACTAAACTCCCTAATTGTGGGCGTGGAAGCAGCAGATTGGGCAGCTCCAGTTGTTCTGTGGATGGGGACGCCAATTCGAGCTGATTAGCCTCCGTAGAGCTGGGCGCAATGGCCACGCTATCAGGCAGAGATGCTTCCAGACCCTCTTTGCCCGGCGGCAGTGGTCTGTTAGTCGCACCCGGAGTTATTTGTTCCAGCACCTGCTGCATGGACTTTAGATCCCCAAAGCCACAGTCTCGGACACAGCGCAGCATGGCATTAAAACTGTAAAAGTCTGGAGTTATGCCACGCTGCAGCATCTTATGCCAGGTGAGTAGCGCATGTCGGAAGCCATGTTGCTTATCACTGGCGCACGCTTGCAGCAGAAAGTTGAAGCTCTCCGTGTCCAACGGCAGCTGACGTTCCAGCATTTCATCGGCCAGCATGTAGGCGGTATCTATGTCTCCACAGCGACCGTATGCCTTGATCATGGCATTGTAGTTCTTTACATTCGGCTCGTAACCTTTTTCCAACATGTTCTCTCGCAGCTGCCTCGCCTTGCCCAAGCCGTCAATCTGTGAAGGTGCATTGGCGCACGCATTGAAGAGGGAAGTGTAGGTGCCGCCGGTAACTTTAAGACCACGTTGACGCATTTTAGTGTACAGACTGAAAGCTTTACGAGTGTAGCCCGCCTTGGCGCAGCCGCTGATAAGCAAATTGTAAATGTAGTTTTCTGGCTTCACACGATCCTCTCGCAACATGCGCACCTCTAGCACGGCAAGGGCGTCATTGATGCGATGCGCATTTAAATGTTCCTTTATCAGACGAGCGTACTCTATGGTGCGAAGTTTTCTTGTGTGTCGCGTTGGTCTGCTAATGAATTCTTCCTCCTGCGCATCACCGGGGTCTTCAGGTTGAATACCGCTGAGCTTTGCATCGCCGAAGGTATCCGGATCACCAAAGTCGATCAATGTTTCTTTTTTTTGTTCCAGCTTATCCGGTTTTGCAGTGTCTTTTTCGAAATTTTCCGATCTCTTAAACTTGTTATGCACACGCAGTCTGGGGGTCTGTTCTCTTGGGTCTTCATCCAAAATCTTGTCTTGGAAAGGATTTGTCTGTCTGTTTGCCTCACGTTTTGTCTGCAGACCGGCATCCTGATCCGTAATACGCACGTGTAGTAGGCGGGTTTGCTGCCAGCCAAGTTTTGGAAACTCTGTTTGAACACCGAGTGTTTTTTTTAGATGTAAAGAGTGCTTTGGTGCGTATTTCTGCAGACGGCGTATGTGTGGAATCAGCGCCAAGCTGAAAAAACGCACAGCCATTTTTGTCTGTGGCAATTTGCTATTATTTTTATGTAATTTAACGAGTTTTAAATGTGCATGCCGTTGAACAGTAATTTATAATAATAAGGAGAAGAAGCATCGTCATTCCCTTACCAAACCTGTGAATGGCATACAGCTGTTTTGAATCGATGTGGCAACGCTAACATTCCCTTGCACTGCTCAAGAGAAATTTTAGTTTTTTCACCTAATTTGACCGACATCAATAAAAATTAATTGAAAATGAGCTACATTGTGGATCCACGTCGGAAAGAGAAAATCAATCGCTACAAGGCACCCAAGAACCAAGGACAAGGCGGTGGCGCCAATGAGGACATGATGCCGGATTATATGAATATTCTGGGAATGATTTTCTCCATGTGCGGTCTGATGATGAAGGTAACACCACGTCTCCATTAATTTCAGTACAAACTGTAACACAATCCCTTTGCAACAGCTTAAGTGGTGCGCCTGGTTTGCCCTCTACTGCTCTTGCATCAGCTTTTCCAGCTCGCGGGCAAGTGACGATGCCAAACAGGTGACTAAAGAATTCACAAACGAGTGCCCATTGCTAATCCAAATTTTCTAGGTTCTGTCTTCCTTTATGTTAAGTGTAAGTGCTGTGGTCATGTCATATTTGCAAAATCCCGCGGCAATGACGCCGCCATGGGCGTCGTAACAAAGAATACACAATATTGGTTTCCTGCTAGTTTAATGAATGGAACTTTATTATTCTCCAAAAACTCAAATGACAGTTGATTGGGCGTAGAAAGAGTTGAATAAATTAACCACAGGAGTTTGTATAAATTTTGCTAAAGAATTCGAAGGTAATTGGCAGGAGCTGACAATTTCTTCGATTGAAACTATGTGGTGAGTATGTAATAGGCAAACAGAATAAAAGCCAAAATATAAATGGTGCCAAAGATCAGTACGTATTAAATCTCCCCAAAGTTTGCATGACCAGTGGCTTTGGCGTGCTGTTGGGCCTGTGCCTGACCCACAAGCAATAGATCACACTGTAAACAACGAAGATTAAATTTATCCACATTTGTAAATTGGCGTGAGGACTTTGCTTCGTTGGCCAGCTGCTCAGCTTGCTGATAGACGCCCAGCTCCTCAACGGGGAAGATGGTAGCTGGTGCGGCACTTTGTGACGTCTCCATGTAAAGTGGATCATAGTGTATGCCATCGAACAGTAGGAACACACGTAAACCAAAATTTTTGTCCTCACCGAAACGATTGATAATGGCGTTTTGTATATCAACGACATCGATTTCAATGCCATAATAATTGGATAAAATGGACACTTCGATGGCGCCGCCCCACGAGTCCGCCTTCTGTATCCAAGCGCAGTACTCGGCGTTTGATTTGCCAAGGACGGCATCATTGTATTGCTGCGGATCGGCGGCCACCTCCTGCGCGATAATATGACGCATCATTTCGCTGCCCTCGTTGTCCACCTTACCATTGAGAACGAAACGTATGCTTGTAAAAAGGCACGAGTTATCCGCTGGCACCACCTTTTTCAATAGAATTCCATTGAAATCGCCATTTGGTCCAGCTTCCGCGGGCGCGGTCACGGGTGCGGTCACGTGTGCGCTCTCGCGCCCGTTGCTGCTATGAGCGACAATGTCGACAGAGTTCAGTTCGGCATTGCTTGAGGTAGTTACCTGACGCAGGTGCTCTGCATCTTCTTCCGCCTGCAGACGACGCGCCAGCGCTTCGTCATCCTCAATGATTGCAGAGTTGGCCACTGGCGTCGCCTTCTCTTCCACAATCAGCGTCTCGCCACTTTGGATGCCAATGGAGCGCAGATTCCGCTGCTGCTGGTCGCTAAGATCCAGCGGCCGAGGAGGAAATCCGACGAGCACGTGTAATTGTGGCTCCTTGATTTCCGTTGCCTGAGATATCCGTGATTTTAGTTCAGCTATTGTTGTGTTCTCGTTCAGGTCATTGACAATGAATTGACCTTTTTTCGATTTTAGCTTCACACTGAACGAACCAGTCATATTTCTGATTTTAGCTTTATATCTGTTTGCCGAAAATTTTTTTTGGGATTTTATAATTTTTCAATTTTAAGTAGTTGGAATTTTGACTTGATTTGGTCAAGTGTGTTTATTGTCTAATATTTTTTTATCGTTCTTTTGCTTATTGTTTAATACGCGATAGAGATGGCAGGGATTAAGTATTTTAACGTAATCGCTTACTATGGTGCTGCCACACTGTTTATGACAATGTGCGATGACAGCAGCTGGTTCAAAACAAGATGCTTACACAGAAATGCACTAAAAAATACCAAGGCGCGCCTTAACGGCGGGCAAAATTTGAATTTAACATTTTTTCTCTCAATAATCAAGTTTGATGTTGGCAAACATGATTATTTGCTTAATGATTTGCATATTCTGTACTAGTCGGGTGGGTAAAACAATTAGCGCTAAGGCAAGTTGTGAAAATCATTCCAGAACGGATGTTTAGTTCTGCTACGGCCTTGAGCAAAGTGAATTTACACAAAGAATGTTTGCCATTGGCAAGCACTTCTTTTTGTTGGTGCCCATCCTCTGTCAAGTTAAGCTTAAACTGTGTTTTAGCTAATCAGTAATGCTGATAAAGTGATAATTTCCAACGAAAACGGCAAGTGAATGGATCATGCATCACCAGAGTTGAGGTTAACCAGCTATAAAAGCCGCTAATAAGTATTAAGTGAGAGCGGGGGCTGCAGCTAGGGAACGATTAGCTAATGGTCAAATCAAATAGAACTCAGAACCAAGGAAACATATATTAGCGAAAACCCACAGAGATATGTCAGTCAACACACCAATTTGCCATCGGGCTAGGCCAACAATGGGTCCAATAACAACAAAAGCGGTCTCAACAAAATAGTTTGGTTTGCTTTATGTTTTATTTTTCCACACATCCAAACGCCTTGCGTGGTACACTAAAATCACATTTAATAGTCCAAACAAAATTTATTGTTGGGCTGTTCGGAGATACAATGATATTTTAGAGCTTCCATTGTGACGATGTGTTGTTTTAATCTCTATGTAAGACGAGCGCGCATGCGCACAGCTCGGAGCGGCTCGAAACTCCCATATAAATAGATGGACAGCGGGGTCTATGCTCAGTGCAGGTCTGTCAACGCGTAACGCGAGATCATCAATTAACACGTAGTGCTCAGTCAAGGAGTCCTCAACTTAAACCGCAATCACAATGAAATTCTTGCTTTTGGTGCGTCCACTTGACGGCAGATTCTATGGATAACATTCAACTAATTATGGAGTACGTTTGCCTATTTCCAGACCGTGTTCGTTTGCCTGGCTGTGTGCTTCATGGCAACCAGTGCTGTGCCCGTGGAGGAGGCCATACCCGAGGGCATTGAGGGTCCCGGCAGCGAGCCCATCAGCCCCACCGACGATCAGTCTTTCCTGCTGAAGCTGAAGCTGCTCAAGAAACTGCTCTTCCTGGGTTAATTGCCGAGATTAAATGGACTTTTAGCATATTTTGTTTCTAGTTTTTAAGAATGATATTAAAAAAAAAACAAAATTTTAAATCTTAATATGTTATTTCTTTTAGTTTCAAGTTCACGTTCCAAGTCATTTGTTTGGCGAGGTATGGAAATAGTTGGGGAGGGAGAAAGATATCAATGAAAAAATGTTGTTTAAATCCGATGGGGAACTGAATCTAATGATAAAGTTATCATTGATGATAGGCAAAATATTAGCTATATGGATTAATTCAAGACATTGGCTTGATGCGATTCGCTTGTTAAATAGATTGAAGTCTATACAATTTTTTTTCTATTAGCTCCCAAATGCTAAATACAAATTTAAAACCATGACAACAATTCACAGTTATTAATTAAATAATATATATATATGTATGTGGGTCAATGTCAGTAAACAGTAAATATATATGTATATATATGAGTCCAAAAGATATGTGCTTCAAAAATCTTGTAGATCGTTAAGGCAAACAGGAATCAAATTGTTCACACTTTTCGACTAATTCACATAGCCATCGAGGCTTGTTGCCCATATTCAAATCCCGAGCGATAGAAAACATACTTCCAGTCATTAGCTCCTTGTTAAAAGAGTTGCAAATGAAGCACCATGGCACAAGCATAAATTTGTGATAATGTTTGTTGTGTGGTTGTATGTGAATTATATTTATTTAGTTAAGTATACGATTAAGCTGTGAATGTGAGTGATTTGTGTTTATCTCTAAGCGAAGGGTTAAATGCAGCACAGTGCCTTGGCCCAAGCGGAGAGGTTGGGTTCCCAGTTGGTTGTGTGTTTGTACATGGACTAGAGTCAACGGGATTGGCTGGCAACCGTGTGGCCTTAGCCGAGCAGCAGCTTCTTCAGTTTCTTCAGCTTGAATATGGCCTGGGGATCGTGGGGATTGTGCACATCAGCCTGGCCATAGAAGTTGTCACCCTGCAGCGACTCGTCGACGGGCACAGCGGCGACCAGAGCCACAGCCAGCAGGCAAACGAAAAGAGCCTGTAAAATGTGCATGTGGATATCCTTGAATATGGAACCCTTGAAGGCAATCTATATCTAAGGAGACTCACCAATGCGATGTACTTCATTTCGATTAAAGTCGTTGATATGCGAAGGTAACTGTGGAGCTGTTTAATCCAAAAATTGACTGCACCTGGTGGCCACAGTGCCGGTGGCTTTTATACCCAAGAGATGGCGCCCCCGAAAAAGAAAAATAAAAGGAAAAAGAAACCCATCAAGCGATGATAATGTCATATGTAAACTGCACATATTACATTCCCGGTTTGGACAAGTGGTCAAAAATGGCGATACATAAACAAAGGCGCATAAATAAACGAGTCTGGTCAATAAAAACAGCAAAAATAAAGAAAAACTGACAAAAATTGCAAATTGCTCGAACGTGCACAGTCTCTGGGCCCTGCTGGGCACCTGCCTGTGGCACTCTTCTGGTCGCTGCGCAAATAAAGCATATATTTATAAGGCACAGACAGATGCACCAACAACAACGACAGCAACTGGCCACATACGAGCCATGCCCGCCTCCCGCCTCCCGCCGCCTGTCGCTATTTGCATTGGTTAGGTCAGAGCCAAGCGCGCTGTTTGTGCCACTGAAGAAGTCTCAGCAACTGTCCAAATAAGCTTTGGACTAAGTATAGTTAGGCAGATTTACATAGATCGGTGAAGGTTAAGTAAATCAAAATACAGCTCATTCGGAAATCGGTCAGAAAAGCGCCCGCAAAGCATGACATTTGTTTTTTATTTGAGAACAGTCACTGCAATACACGGAAGTAGAAACTGGATGTATATATAATATAATATAAATATATTACATAATAGCCGCATTTTGACCAACAGATTAGCACCGAAATAGCGCTCACAGCCTTCTCTCCATATCCAACTGAAATTGAATCTTAAGGAGCCCACGTATCCGGAATTTAGTTTCACACCTCAAATAAAGCGATCAATAGGTGGGTCAGCTAAGTCCATAAATATTTGGCACTTCTATCAGCCATCAAGCTTGAACGTTTAAGAGTTAAATCAACACAAGTTGAAAACCGCAGCCAACACAGAATAAACGTCTCTGGGCGTTGGCTATAAACAGCTCAACAAATTAAATAGAGGTCAACATATGGATTAATATATTTGTTTATATTTTTGGGACTTGTTGACTGGAGCCCGTCAAAGTCAAAGTCGTTTCACATTTACATGTTTTGTTTTATAAGCATTGACAAATGTAGTGCAATTCGTGGAGCGGAAACGAATGCAGATCTTGAGAGCTCTCTGTTAAATGAAATTAGCATGCTGACCACATGACTTAGCACATTTGAGTAAGCCGCCAAAAGATGTAAATCCAACATACAGATAATTGTATCTATTTATGCAAATTATACCAAAAGCGGTGTGAGCTGCAATAGACATGTTTGAAGCTTGTTGGGCTTAGACAACAAATTGCCTGAATGGCTTTTGATCGAGTCATCGTGATCAAAATCAGCGTCATGCGTCGTCGGGTTGTCTGTGGGCACCGCTCGACGCTTTTGTTGAGGTGTTTTGTGCCCATGGGCATTTCAATTAGCTCGTTTACAATGGGCGCCCCAAAAGGGCGTGGCTCGAGCTGGCAATTTATTTATGAGCCCCTCTCTATAAACGTGTATTTCGCACATGTTGACAGTTTGAAGATCGTAAAGCTGTCGCAAGTGTCTGGGAATTAGATATAAAAGTGCGTAACATTCATTTCATTTTTGGACAGCAAATGATGCCGAACCAATGATAGCCATATAAGACGGACGTGGCCAGCTTATGTGGGTCAGAGCCCAGACGACCTTTGCCTAAATCGTAGAACACTCTGTCAACAGACATACAAATTGTTTTGGCAAACTGTTTAGCTGTTAAAGCGAAACAAATCACGCATACGCCCCCCGTACACAGAGCTGTGTTTAACCCGAAATACAAATGAGTTGATAAGAATCTTAGGGGAATCGGGGTGGCCATTCAATATGCCCAACGTGGTTAGCAAACAAATCCATTAGGTCAGGCGACGTGGCGTGACTGAGCTGGAGTCGAACGAGTCGCTTGCAAACTCTAAAATGCAAAGCATAAACCGCACTTTACTCCGGCTGCACGATTATGAGTCCATATTGCGGGCTCCTGGGCTTAGCCTGGTTTGCAGCTCAGGTACTTGGCGTAAGTCCTACATAAAACAGCTTAAAATTCGTTTAATCTTAATGCATGGCATATCATCTCCAGCTAAATATGCAAATTGATCAGCTCTACTCCAAGTCATTTGTGCCCAACGATATAATTATCAGCTATAGCTTGGAAAATAGAGAGACCATAAACTATAACTTGACCGTGAAGGTGCATTTTCCCGGCAAACTGCTAATGCAGATCTTTGTACGCCGGCTGGACGATGTGCCGGGCGGAACAAACACCTTCGAGATGCTCAAATTGAAGAATTTGGATTTCTGCAAGTCACTTGAATCGATGCGCAACATGACCATAGATGATTTTCAGAGCGATTCCCTCATTCCGCCCACCTTTCTAATATCCTGTCCATTAATGCCGGGCTTTTACTACGTGGACCGTGGCTTTTTCGACGACAGTCTCTTTCCATGGCCCATCAAGGATGGCAGATACTTTCTGCTATTCGAGCTGGTGCAGGTGTACGAGGAGGTAACCAGATTATTAAATTGCAAATTAAAGTTCAGCAAGAAGATACCTGAGACGAAGCTGGAGAGCGAAACGCAAGGAACCAGCATGGAACCTGGAACCAACGACAAGCCTGAAGACGACTTTGACGGCTTTAAGCGTTGATATAGACCATACCATATATTTCTATGAGTGTATTCTCAATGAATGGGTTGAATGGGTTCAACTGTGATTGTGAAATGGATTGAATGTGATTAAGGCTTATATTTAATATAGTTTTTGTGAGCTTTACTGATGAATGTGTGTAGAATATTGGTGCAAAGATTGGAGCTGAAACTGGCTCAAGTGTAATTCAAAATGTGTCCCAAGGTGTCAAACAAGTTTTTAAATTAACATAGCAGAGAAGATCCAAAATTGAATGACTTTGCTTACGCTTAGCAGGTAGAGTCCAAGATAATACTGCCCATTTATCATAGCTTAAAACAATAAATTTTGGGAGTAGCAGCAGGAAGCCGAAACCATTATTCAGTTTATTTTTTTTATGGAAACAACTTAAGCAACTGCACTCATGAGAATCGTACAGAATGATAACCGAAATCAGCTGATGAACTTGAACCAGAAACACAGTTCGGCTGGGTAAACGCGTATAAATTATGCGAGGCAAACAGAAAACAGAAAACAGGGCAAACAAACGCGAACCCGAAAATACATATCTCAGATAAATCATAGCCCAAAGAGAGTCGCATGCAAGCGGCCATAAATTAAAGTGCGAGTATTTTTATTGCAATTCGCTTGTTTGTACCAACAAATAACAAGTACAAACAACGCTCAGCAGCAGCAGCAGCAGCAGCAGCAGCTACAACAACAAAGTGGACAGCAACAACAATGAATGGTAAACAGATAGGAGAGGGGGGGGGGCGGCAGGGCGGGGCTTAAGCCGCAAAGTACAGTGAAAGTGACGTAATGCGGCGTTGGGAATGGTAAAATGTACCAGAAGAAGTAGAAAATAAAAAGCATTAAACGGCGACAACAAAGTAAAGGAAAAAATGTCAATGTCTTTAACAGCAGCGGTAGCGGACGAAGAAGAAGCAGCAGCAGCAGCAGCAGCTACCAAACACTGACCATTGATATGGACATTGGCAGACGCTGCGTATACGTAATCTGTGTGTGTTGTCGGTGTTGCTGGTGTTGTTATTTTTTGCACAAACAAATTGCACATGCATCGTACGTCCGACGGCGGCTTACATTTATTTACTTCTGCTGGTTTTTCTTCTTTTTGCTGATTTCTTTACTCTTCTTTTTTTATTTTGGTTGAATTTTATGTGTTTGGCTTTTATCGCCTGCATTTACAATTCAATGTCATCGCATTGTTTTTTTTTTTTTTATTCCTTTTTTTTATGCTGTATATTTCGTAATTGCCAAACTTAAGAAGAAGCAGCGACAGCAACAGCAAAAAGTGCCCGATCTTCAACCGGTTTGAGCCATGTAACTGACTGCAGTTCCAATGTTAATTTTAGGTTGCGGCTTCGGCTGCGGCTGCGGCCGCGTGACCTTGAAACCTGTTGGCAATTGCAATTGCGCCTTGTCTGTGGTCATCTCTGTGGTCAAGCTCATGCATTATGCTACCATGGCTCATCAAGTTTTATGATGCCGCCTGCCTTTGTAATAATTATTATTAAATATAAGTTTATATTGTGTAGCCAGCCGTAAAATCGTTTTCAAGTCTCGTCCAGACAATCTAAACGATGTAGGCGTTGCATTGTTCCGCTTGATTGCAGCTCGATCTGTAAATAGCAGACGCTGCGCAGCCTTAACATTGCTCTGTGTGGCCAGCTGCAGCGTTTATTAACAGCAAGCAACTCAAAAGCTGTTGAGGTTAAGTTCATGCACATAAATTTGACTTTGAATTCTGTTATGTTATTAGCAAATTGGCTGTAAGCAGCTGGTAAATAGGGAATAATGAAACGGTAAATGGTAATTGCCGCAAATCTGAAAAGCGTAAAGCAAATAACCAGTTGAAAAGTTTAGTTTAGCTTAGCCAGAATCATGGTTTAAGTGAAAATGTAGACATATATTAACACATTTCTGATAATTGCATATGGAAATCAAAGTCAGCGCTTTTTTAATAGTCTCTTTTCATAACAGTTTTGGCATTTCTGCAACTAATATCACTGAACAATTTGAGCTTATTCCTCGTAGATTTTTACCTTGTAGATCACAGCTCCCTAGTTAAGTTTTCAATTATATTTTATATTGTTTTCATTTGATTTGTGCGACGAATTGTTTGCAATGACGCCAGCTAGTAAACATTCGCATACTTGATTGATTTCAAAGATCAAAGTTAAGTGTTGTAATAAAAAACGTTCACACTACTAGATAAACAATGTTTTACCTGCTTATTGATTCAGCACTCAACAATGCCAAATAAGCTGCTAAATTGTGCCAGAAGCAGAAGTGCGCAGCTTAAAAAGAATATTTTTGTGCAACTTACGATCAAATTGTGCTCAATGCTGGGGTAAAGAGTA